TGGAGTCTCGAGGCATCAATGCGCATGGGCTCAACTGGACCGTCGGGAGGCACTTGGGTAACGACGAGCGCTGAAATGTCGAAAGAGAATGGGGGTGCAGCTGCCCAGGTGCCTGAGGTGTAGCTGGGGCTTCATTATTTTTTGTAGTTTCGTCTTGGGCTTCACTTTCCAGTGGCTCGGGGGTTCATTCATGTAGAGAAACTTAGGTAATCTGCCTGCCTGTCTGCCCGCCTGGCATGCCTGTTTTCTTGCCGACAAGTGCACAACTTTTTATGCCAGGGATGGAGGCCTCATGGGGACCAAGTACGAGGCGGCGGCACAGAAATCAGAACCCAAGACTTAGGATTTAGAGCGGTTCGGGTTTCGGGGTTAGGGGCAGGGTTAAGGGTTTAGGGTTGAGAACTTTACCCCTAAACCCGAGAATCTAATTAGGTTTGCAGGGTTTTGGGTTTATAACTATATCCCCAAACCTAAAACCTAAGATGGGTTTGCAGGGATTTCGGTTAGGGTCAAGAACTATATCCATACACCCTAAACCCTGAACCCTATATCATTGTTACAGGTGCTTGGGTTAGGGTTTACCCTCGATTCGAACCGCAGGTCAGATAATGCCTGAGCCAAGGATGCTCACTGAAGATGCCCAGACCACAAGCCCGAAAATCCTACTTTAAACTACCGCAGCCTATCTTTTTACCTTCTGATTCTGAACCCTAGCATAGATTTTTGTAGGGACCCTACATAAAAGTAGGTATTGGTAGTTTCAGGTGAGGTATGGGGTTTGCTTGAACTGTCAAACCCTAAACCCTAAACTACTAAACCCTAAACGCTAAACCTCGAACTCGAATCAGCCGTAGCATGCTGGACCTTGAACTTCAACGATTGAACTCACCACGTACATGTGGACCTCAAGCTGCGTTCTCAGGCAGACCCTTAACCCTAAACCCCAAAGCCAAGGAAGCATCAGGGCTTTCCTTTGCGAGGTTAGGTGGGCTGGCACCCTTAAACGCGAAAGTGTAAAGTCGCAACACCTGTTGAGCCCTAAACGCATTAAGCCCTAAGCTTGAACACAGAAACCTCCTCCCTATATCCTCAACCCCTAAAAACCACCAACCCCAATACCCCGGGCCAGATCCGGCTGAATTTGACGAAGCGGGGCCATCCGAAGAATGTTGACTGGAGGAAGATTGCCAGCGGCTCAGATACGCCAATCAGCACTCGGGGTTTTAGGGTTTAGGGTGTAGAGAATTTTGTAAGACTGCAAGGAAACTGCAACAACAGGTATCTTGACGGATCTCACACCCGAAGCCTCCAAGCAAGTTGCACATGAACCTCTGCAAGCCCTGAAACTTTAAAATTCCTAAACCCTAAACCCCAATCACGCTTGTCGGGTTCGGGAATTGGAGCCCTTTGGGCTCAGGCGGGCTTCAAGACTAGGATGCCCAGTAGTACCCTTATTCCCTTTTTGTAGTCCTAGGTTCCTTATAAAGTTACCCAATACCGAAAAGAGAGGCCTTTTTATTCTTAGGCTACTGGGTATCCTAGAAGACGGACCAGCTCAGGACTCGTGGGGCTTCTTACCTTTGGTAGGGAATGGAGGAATTGGGTTTAGGGTTCAGGGTTTAGGGTTTACGGTAGTAGGGTTTAGGGTTTAGGGTTAGTAGGGAATGGAGGAATGGGGTACAATTTTAAGTACTATTGCTACCATTCCTCCATTCCCTTCTAACCAAAGGCAAGGCTTTTGGGCTTCAGCGCCATGCGTACATGGATGTGGCGGTGTTTGGAATTCAGGTGATTCCTTCACGTCTTAAACCACAAGCTCGAAGTTTTTGATCAGGGCACCTTCGGAATACCGCATCTTCGACTCATCAAAGAGTATAACTGCTGCTATCTGGGAAGTCTGAGCCGTCCCTCCGCATCCTGAGATGTCAGATATCTGGATGCTGTAAGCTTGAAGCGATTCATTTGTGCGTGGCGTTCTTTGAAACTCCAAACCCCCAACTCTTACCAGCCCCATAATGGCTGGTTCTTCCGATTGAAGCTGAAGCCAAGGTCTTTCGGGGGAATCTGCGTTGCAACCTACGGTCAGAACTTATTGCTAGTCCTACCGATCAGAGTTACCCCATTCCAAGCATTGAAGCTCCTGTGTTAGCTAACTGGGTCCCTCGACTCAAATCATTCACAAGCCTCAGCATGGTAAAGTTTAGGGTTCAGGTTTTAGGGTTTAGATGCAGGTCTTCTTCTGAGTGTGACATTGATATCAAGCCTGGAGCCCTAAAGCCTGAACCCTAAAACCCTCAACCCTAAATAAACCCTGAGACCATAGACCCTAAACCCTCAAACCCTAGTCCCTATGCCCCAAACCCTAAGCCCTAAAAGGTTAAACCCTCAAACCCTAAACACCTGACGAACACATAACAGCCTGTGTTTACACGAACTCCCGATGCTCAATGGTCCGGAGATCTTGGCTAATGCTGAACCTTAAAAAGTTTCAGGTTTAGCGTATAGGCCTTCCTTAAAGCCTCCCGAAAGCCAACCTACGTTGTTTAGCTAGGATTCCCAGTAGTACCCTTATTCCCCTTTTGTAGTCCTAGGTTCCTTACAAAGTTACCCAATACCAAAAAGAGAGGCCTTTTTATTCTTAGGTTACTGGGTATCCTAGTATTAGGGTTTCGCCTCAAGGCCCCCTGTGCCGCTTAGAAGCCGGAAGTATTCCGGTACCCGCACTAAAGAACGGCTCGAAGCTGAATGTAGAGGATTGAATATTTTAGTGAGAGTATTCCCCAGAGTTCCTGAATAGAAGGATTACACATTACCCAGAGCTCCTGAATAGAAGGATTGCACATTATCATCCCAAAATCCCTAACCCTAAATTATTCAGGCTTCCGTATTAAGCTGTTCCCATGGGCGACCAAGGACTGAGCCATAGCGGCGTTCGACTGAATAAGAGCTTTCACCAGCCGTTTAGAGTTAGGGTTTAGGGCTCGGGTTTTGGGTCCGTGGTTTAGCGTTTTGGGCCAAAGGGTGCAGGCCTCAAGATTTACACAGGTTTGAGTTTGTGGATTCGGGTTTGAAGGCGTAAGCAGCTGACATAGATTTTCGGGTGCAAGAAGCTTAAGCTTACGCTTAAGGGAATAGTGTGGGAGTGCGTGCGTGCTTCAGGTTTAAGGTATCGGCGCTATGTCCGCTTCCATTCGAGTTCCGCTGCACTACCGCAGAGGTTCGCTTTAAAAGACGGCGTGCGCTGGCGTCCTGTGGTTTTAGGTTTGATTTCAGTGAAGACTCAGAAGCCTTTCTTCCGTAGCCTTAAATCCTGTTGTTGCATTGAAACCCTAGTGAGTGGAAGTTGATCTCCTCACAGACGGGAAAAAAGCGTTCAGACAAAAAACATCGAAACCCCTGAAGCTGTTATTGCAACTGAACCCAAAACGCTGCAGCCGTGGTCTTCAAGACGTGGAGGCCTCGTACGCCTCTGGGATCATGGTCTACTTGGAGGGTTGGCGGACTTAGTAAGTAGATAACAAGTAGACTTATACGTATCATAACCCCAATTAGGGTCTCTTCTAGGGTACTTATATAAGTCTGCCTACCATCTACTTACTAAGTTCCCCGACCCTCCAAGTATGGTCCCCCAATCTTACAGGCCCATCGCAAAATCCTATCACTGACCTAGGTAGGCCTTCAGGACATTTCATATTTTCCCTTATTGGGCTTAATAGGGCCCTATTTACGAATATATTCCAGAGGCTTTAAAGGGTTAACCTAGTGACGTTCTGAGTGACGGAGAAAGGCGGCCCTGCAGCTCCAGTCCCGGAAGCAAAAACACCATACATGAATGGGGGTTTCCGAAAATTAGGGGTACCTTATTTTAATTTTGGGGTCCTTATAATAAGGATCCGACTATTTAGGGTGCTATATTAAGGTCCCCTGTTTTCGGAAACTCCCAAATCACATAGATGAGTAGTCCCAGTATGAGAAGCAAGCAGTACTACAACCGTGGCCAACCTGCTTCCACTGAAGCTGGGTCCCTAGAGACTCCAATATCCCTTAATTAAGGAATATACCTTAAATCATATTAGGGATCCTACCATAATTTAAGGAATATTCCTTAATTAAGGGATATTGGAGTCTCTGGGTCTACGAGGCTCCCAGTCGTTCTTTCAATGGAAGTCTCAGAGAATGAAGCCCTCTAGTTAAACTCCCGACTAGCAAGATTCTTGCTATAAAATCCCTCTCATTGTGATTAAGGAAAGGCTTTGCTTCTAGGACCCAGAGTAGGCCCTTATTCCCTTTTTTAGGGTTCAGGTTCCCTTATAACCCCCTGTAAACCACAAAGGGCGCTCTTTTTATTGCTAATTAGGCTAATTTTAGGTCTAGGCTTCGACCTCTTGATAAAGCCCAAGATCATCTTCCTCTCGTCCCTTCTCTTCACACTCCACCATTGCTCGTCCTCACCCTGGTCGCCATGCGCTTAGGAGTTTCCGAAAATCAGGGATGCCTCATTTTGGGGTCCTTGTAATAAGGATCCTACTATTTCGGGTACTATCACCATCGACGTAAGCTGGTTTATCTTCAGCAGTAGCAGCAGCACCACTGCCACGAAGTGCACCGTCATAGTCACAGTCACCATTTTCGTCGCTGTGATCCTCCTCCTCGTCCTAATCACCACCATCCTCATCAGAAGCGTGTCACTTCATCTGCCATGATGACCAATTCTCTCCTTTACTTGTGACTTTCTTCATCCCTAATGTAGGGGCCTGAATGCTAATGGAATGGGTTTGGGGATATAGTACACTCATAACCATAATAAGGAACCCCCAAAGCCCTATGCTACTTATTCAGGCCCCTACATTACCCTGTAATTACAATCAGCACCATCCGGAGCATCGTCTTCCTTTCTGTGCCATGTTTTCTAGTAAACCGCTGGGGGACGAGAGCCGTGATCCTAAATCCTGTTCCGCAGCTGTTTTCGAGCTGAGAGAAGTTGACTCGGTTGCGCAGCCATGAAGAAGAAGACTCCGGCGAGCTCGTCAGCTCCGAACAACAACAGAGCTAACCAGATGAATCGGAACAACCCGGAATTTTATCGCTGTCGCGGCATACCAATGCCGCCCAAGGCAGCAAAGGCACAGTCGATCGAAGCGACGCGGGCTGCAGGATATCGCGAGGCAGAGATCAACATCGCCGCCCACGAACCCAACAAGGCAGCTTACGGCCGAGACAATCGCAAGATAGAGTCGATTGTGAAGCGTGTGTTCGGCCCCCAAGCAAGCATCCTGAAAGGAGGATCGCGGGCGAAGGGGACCAACTTGCAAAGCTCTGACAACGATGTGAAGGTAAGGCTCCCAAATAACAGAGTCATGACCGAACAGGATCGATCGGTTTTGCACCACGCCTTGAAAGCAGCATTCGGACCTGAACGAGTGGATGCCTCCAATCCTCGCATTCTCAAAGTTCGAGGTGAAGCATCAGAAATAGATGTCGTTCCGGTCCACAGTACATACGCAGGCCCTGGATTCCATGCCGGATATCCGAAGAAACCCTTCAAGGACAATCCCAAAGCCCGGACAGCCGTGCGGGACGTGAAGCTGACGGCAGAGGAGCAGGGGATCCATCTAAGGGGCTACGACATTGAGAGGGCGGTTCTCTCACAGCAGCACCTCGGCTCAGGTGTATAGGGGCCTAAATAATTAGCTATACTACTTCGGGGTTCCTTATTATGGGTTTTCGCCTAACATACCCAGAAGCTTTTTTATTTTTTAAGCCCCCTATAGCCTATAGTACACCCGAGTAGTTGTCAAAATTGGGGTCCCGCATTATATTAGGGACCCAAAAAAGGACCATAACTTTGGGCAACCACCCACCCGGCAAGCCAGGGAGAGGCTCCCTCACCCTATGGTTTAGGGTTTAGGGTTTAGGGTTTAGGGGCAACTTGCAAGGTCAGTTTTTGCTAAGAGCTTGGGGCCTGGCATGCAAGATTCGGGCTTAGGGTTTAGGGTTTAGGGTGTCAGAGTTGTTCTTAGCTCTTGAAGCATATCTCGCATTGCTGATGTGGGTCTTCAACCACTTTGTCTTTCTATGTCTTGGACATTCTTGGAGGAAGTCAGTGTGCGTCTGGAACGGGCTTGCAGCACTCCCTACAGTGTCTGATGTCATATGTACGGAAGTGTCTTGTTGACGGAGGGCTTCTTCAGAACATGTCTGGGTTCGACCACTGCTCCCTCATCTTTCAAAACGTGCCGAACGTGGACACTTCCTTATAAGTACCTGTCAGTTCCCTGTAACTTCTCTTCACGCAGTCTGATTCTTCGTCAGTCTTTCAGAGGTTTGTTCTCACTCCAGGATGTTATGCATACACGTTGTGGGGATCTTTTGGCATGGTTTGTTGTTGGTCTTCTGAAGGATCGCTGGCAGGTATCATGTATGGTCTGCACATTTATGGCTGAGACGATGCACGGCATACCCAGCAAGAAATCTCCATACTCAGAACACTTCAAGCTATTGTAGATCTGGTCTGCAATGGTTTATTCTGGGTTGCGCTAGGAGGTGCGTGAACAGGACACCTCTCGAAGAAGGATCACCGGGGACTTTGGTGTGGCAAGTAGAGCCACTGCGGTTGATTATATATATATATACACACACACACACACATCCTGTATTACCTTAAGGACCCTAAAGTATGGAAATTGTTGTATATTCCCTATTCAGGGTAACGCAGGATTTAAATCATCAACAGTAGGAGTTTGCTTTGCGAGGCACCTCTGAAACGAGCCCAACTTGGCTGCAACTGAGGCAGGAGCATTCCGGGGAAGAATGGTGGGAGACGTCCTGGAGAGCCAAGTCACAGCTTGGAGTCCTTTGAACGAAAGCCTCGCAGGAGGATAAGGGTTTCGGATGTCCCAAGAAGAGGGGCAGGTTTGTCGATCAAGTTGAGGCTCTTGAAAGCAGGTCTTGCGGGCATAGTACAGTGCACTTACAGAAAGGACTGGTTATTTAGGCTTCTATGCTAAGTTATTGCTCGTGTGGTTGCAGCTTTCTCACTGAATCTAGTATTATCTCGCGCAAGACGATTGATGTACAAGAGTCGGGCACCAACGACGCAAAAGGCCGGAGCATTTTTTTCACCGGCGCATCAAGCTGCCATTGATGTGGATAGGGGCTTGGGGTTTCGGGATTAGGGCGGAAAGGCCTTCACCAGTCGAAGGTGTGCTCTGGTACGAGTTTGTAGCTACAGCGAGCAAGCAGAGGAGATGACGCTTTAACTCGCATGACTCCTGACGAAAGCGCCAAATCCTGTACTTCTTGCGCAGCCTAGCTTACTGTTGGCATAGAGGTCGGGATAAGTCGTACGACTAGTCCTTGTTATAGCTTTTGATGTACCTGTACAAAAATTATCCACTCCGAAACCCTCTTCAAAGCATGGAGGCTCCTATAGTTAACCTATGTTGGCAACCAGTATAGAGGAGTCGGAACATGCAGCCACCCATAGAGCACAATACCCCTGCATCAAGGAAGATACCTTAAATTGTGATATGCAGCCCCTGATAATTTAAGGTATATTCTAAACCCTAGCCCCTAAGCTTAGTTGAGGGTATCGGGCTCTCTGAGCATGTGGAGATGCTCGCAAGGCTGGCAGCCTGGCTCGAGCCAGGGCTTTAAAGCCTAGACCCAACACCCAAGGCCCCAGCCCCGAAACCCCCCCAAACCCTATTGGGTTCCTCGTTCCTTCTATGTGTCCCCCACGACTCCAAACCCCTGAAGCAAAGGCACTACCATTTTTAGATTGAAAGGTCGGCCTTTGGGGGTTTAAGGTAAACCCTCTGCGAGAAGCTCCTAGCCTCAAATAGACTTCACCCGAAGATGTACGAGGCATTTCTAAACGTAGCTCAAACGACCATTACTTTGGGGTTAGCCTCGTGATGGCCCAAGCACTACACCCAGACCCTCACACCCTTAAGCCACCCTAAACCCCTAAACTATGAGCCCTAAAAGTTAAAACCGCAAACCCTTAAAGCCCTTAACCCTAAATCCTACACCGAAACCCTAAACCTGAACCCCCCAAAAAGACCCTACAACCTTAACTCGTAGAACCTACTTTTTTGGACCCTAAACCTAAACCCTGAAAAAACCCTACAACCTTAAATCGTAGAACCTACGCCTAAACCCTGAAAAAAGCCCTACAACCTTAAATCGTAGAACCTACTTTTTTCGGCCTGGCAGAGACTGTGACGATGCCTTCTTCGGCCGCTGGGCTTTCGAATCAGACGCTGGTTTGTAGCTAGGATGCTCAGGGCTTAAAGGGATCTATAAGGGTTCCTTTTAAGGGGATCTATAGGGTTTAGGGTTGAGGGTTTAGGGTTGAGGGTTTAGGGTTTAGGGTGCCCAGTAGTACCCTTATTCCCTTTTTGTAGTCCTAGGTTCCTTATAAAGTTACCCAATACCGAAAAGAGAGGCCTTTTTATTCTTAGGTTACTGGGTATCCTAGGTAGGGTTTTAGAGTGTGTAGGGTTTTTTCGGGTGTTTAGGGGTTTATAGGTTTTAGGGTGTGTCGGGTTTTTTAGGGTTTAGGGTTTTAGGGAGTGTAGGGCTTTAGGGAGTGAAGGGTGTTTAGGGTGTTTAGGGTGTAGGGTTTTAGGGTGTTTAGGGTGCTTAGGGTTTTAGGGTGCTTAGGGTTTTATGGTGTTTAGGGTGCTTAGGGTTTTAGGGTGCTTAGGGTTTTAGGGTGTTTGGGGTGTATAGGGCGTTGAGGGTGTATTAGGTGTTTAGGGTTTTAGGGTGTTAAGCGTTTTAGGGTGTTTAGGGCCTAGGGTTGTGGGGGTTTAGGGCTTCAGGGTTGTAGGGTTTCGGGGTGTTCAAGATTTAGAGTGAAAAAAGTTGTAAGGGATGAGGGTTTAGGGTTTAAGGGTGTTAAGGAATAGGGTTACAGGGTGTTGGCAGCGTGTTAGGGTTTAGGATGTAGGGTGTTTAGGGTTCAGGCTGTAGGGTTCTAGGGTTTAGGGTTTGGGTCGGGTTGCTTGAAGGGTTCCTTGGAGGTGCTGTCAGGGTTCTATCACACTAGGGTTTAGGTTTGAGCTGCTACCGGGTGTGAGTTTAAGTTTAAGCCTTTTTGGCCACACTCAACTTTCAGAACCTAAACCCTAAACCCTAAACCCGAAACCCGAAACCCTAAACCCTAAACCCTGAACCCTAAACCCTAAGGGTTTAGGGTTTTATGGTTGCCCTCGTTAGTTTCGACGGGGATTCTGATGTAATACAACCTTCAGGCCTTACTCCCACCTCCCATCTTTCGGAAGGCGAGACCCTAAGCTGGGGTCTGTGAAACTCGCATTGACCGGAGGGAGAGAGAGAGAGAGAGAGAGAGAGAGAGAGAGAGAGAGAGAGAGAGAGAGAGAGAGAGAGAGAGAGAGAGCGAGCGAGGGAGCGAGGGAGAGAGCGAGAGAGAGAGAGAGAGAGAGAGAGGAGAGAGCGAGAGGTAGCGGGAAGGGAGAGGGAGAGGGAGAGGGAGAGGGAGAGAGAGAGAGAGAGAGAGAGAGAGAGAGAGAGGGAGAGGGAGAGGGAGAGGGAGAGGGAGAGGGAGAGGGAGAGGGAGGGGCACAACATATTCTGATATTCCTTCTATATACAAAAATATACGATCACCGACTATGACAACACCATACCATGATGCACTCGAGAGGGAGAGAGGAAAAAGGCAGATCCTGCTCCAAAAAGGGTAGGGCGGAGAGACTCCAATATCCCTTAATTAAGGAGTATACCTGAAACTATTTTAGGGATCCTGAAATGGTTTGAGGTTTATGGGAGTTTCCGAAAATAGGGGACCCCAATTTAGTACCCTAAATAGTAGGATCCTTATTACAGGGACCCCCCAAAACAAGGTAGCCCTTATTTTCGGAAACTCCCATATTCGTTACTTAAGGGATATTGGAGTCTCTGAGGTTCATACCCTACCATGGTGGGAGCTCTTAGCTGAGGCTCAAAGTAGCGGCTTGGGGCACATGGCCCAGAAGTACTGTAGTGAGCTGAAGATATCGTGGTAGTCTTTGAGGTTCCCTCCTCATATATTCCAGACATATCCTTTTGGGGGAGATTCTCTCGTACTTAGTATAGCAACCCAGAGCCCAATTTAAGGTCCCTTCTTTAAGATCTCTACTACCACTTCAAGGCATGAATCACAGAGCCCTTGAGGCCGAAAACCTTACACCCTAAACCCAAGACCCTGGAGTCAGGGACATTCATTCTTTTGGAAAGTCTTGAGCCAAGCACTCCAAGCCGACCAGGGTTTAGGGTTTTCAGAGCTCCAAGCCTTGGCCGACATCCCGGGTCTTGTAGTCTCCTATCTGAAGGTCAGGATCTAGACGGTTTGGGGGTTTAGGGCTTAAGGTTCGTTGTGAAAGAGCGTAGGAAGTGGCTTAGGCTTCAGGAGCCATGTCGGTTCGTCTCGATGTGGTGGTCATGAGTGGAAGGAGGGCTCAGATCTCCGCTGATCTGGGTACAACTATCCACGAAATACAGCAGCGCGCACGAAGGATATTGGAAGTTGGACATGGCGTGCTATTGAACGCTATGGGGGAGAGGCTTGCCTCCATGGCCACTGTGCGGCAAGCTGGCCTAGAAAATGGGGACGTCTTGACCTTGCAGGTAAGGCCTGCGTGCATTGCAAGCTCCTCTGAAGCAATTGCTGTTATTCGCGGAGACGGCACTGTGACAAGCTGGGGAGATCCTGTCCACGGAGGCGACTGTCAGGCTGTACTGAAGGAGCTGCACGACATAGAAATGATCAAATCATGCGATTCAGCCTTTGCCGCCATACGAGCAGACGGGCGTGTTTTGACTTGGGGACATCCCAGTTTCGGAGGAGATAGCAAAACCGTGCAGGAACGTTTGAGTGGCGTGATGCGGATTCAAGCTTCGGAAAGGGCATTTGCTGCAATCCTCAAAAATGGGGATGTTGTGACTTGGGGCCATGCATCCTATGGTGGTGACAGCAGCTCCGTCCAGCATCAGCTGCGGAATGTGCAACAGATACAGGCCTCCAAGGGGGCCTTTGCTGCGATCCTGGCTGACGGATCTGTTGTTAGTTGGGGCATTCCAATGTATGGCGGCGATAGCAGCTCTGTCCAAGGCCAGCTGAGGAACGTGCAGCAGATTCAGGTGACACTGGCGGACTACGGCGGAGCGTTTGCCGCTCTGCTGGAGAGTGGATCTGTTGTGACCTGGGGTGCTCGTTATCATGGTGGCGACGCTTGGACCTTTTCATACTGTTGATGATATAAATCCTGCATTACTCTTTTATCAGGAATCTACCATAGTTCCCATAGTTTAGAGTCCTCAGGGTCATGCAGGATTTTGTCCATCAGCTGTATCCACTACCCTAGGACCTCTTGATCCAGTTAGAACCTTACCTGAACATGTGCCCCCCGCAAACTCTCCGAAGACCTTGATGAGCCCAAGGACAGCAGCTCCGTTCAGCATCAGCTTCGGAATGTGGCTGAGTAGTAAAATAAGTAACCTTTCACCTTTGTGATGTAATCCCCCTAGGATAGCAAAGGCTAACCTCTGGTTCCCCAGGACAAAACCCTAAACCCTAAACCCCAGGATACGATTCAGAAGCAAGTAACCCAGAGGGCCCATTACCCCTTAATCAAGGAAGATACCTTAAGTTATACAGGGCTACATATTATGATCTAAACTTTCTTCCTTCATTCAGGGGCAGTAAACCACATAAAACCAATAACAAAGCCCTTCAAGGGACCCTTTAGTGGAACCCCAGCTTGAGGATATATTCCTGAAGCTGTACGTACTGGGCTCCCTGGGAAGCCCAGAGACTCCAATATCCCTTAATGAAGGTATATTCCTCAAATC